GGGCGGGGCAACATGGCGGTCTGTATCGCCGTGATCGCCAAGGAGGTGCGGCGGGAGCGGGCCGGGGGAGCGCTGAGGGGGACAGCGGGGCCGGGTGGGGCCCGGTCGGGGTGGGGAGAGGGGTGTGGGGTCTGAGGGGAACGGGGAGTCACCGGCAGCTGTGGGGTTTGAGCGGGGCAGCGGTGGCGGGTGGGGTTCGAGGAGGGGTGAGGGGCTGGGTCTAGGGGCGTGAAGAGGGGAGGGCATCAGGTGGAGCCATGGGGTCGGAGGAAGGAAGAAGGGCTGGGCCTCCGGATTTGGGGCTTGAAGGGGACAAGAGGGCCAGGGCGGGTTGCAGGGCCAAAGTGCATCCAGGTGGGGTCATGGGGCCTGATCGGGGATTAAAGGCTGGGGCTCAAGGTGTGGGGTCCTGAGTGGGGCCAGGTGGGGTCATGTCATAGGGCCTGAGGAGGGAAGAGGGCCCGGGGCTTACGCTGTGGGGCTTAGGGGAGAAGCGGGGTCAGGTGGAGCTTTGGGGTCTGGGAACGGTGAGGGGAGAAGGGCTGGGGCTCTGGTTTTGGGGTCTGAGGGGGACAGGGATCAGGGGGGTTTATAGGGCCAGAGTGGGTCCAGGTTGAGCTGTGGGGCCAGGTGGCGTCATGGGGCCTGAGAAGGGGAAAGGGCTGGGTCCCAGGTTTTGGTCCCCGAGCAGGAGTGAGGGGAACAGAACTGGGGGCTGTGGGGTTGGTGAGCTTGTGGGGTTGGGGAGAGGAGACCTGGGCAGGGGCTGAGGCTATGGGGTGCGAGCAGGAGTGGGGCAGACGGGTGGTTGAAATAGGCTGGGATCAGAGCAGGGGCAGTGCAGGGGTGCCCTACAGTGTCCTGCTGACCTGCTGCCAGGAGAAGAGAGGGGTTTTCCTCAGGAAGAGCTGGGCACAGGTTCTGCTGGGATAAGGAGACAGGAGCAGAGATGCCTGAGGCTTGTGCAGTGCCTGTCCAAATGTCCTGCCACAGGGACTGCTCTGCACTGAGGGTCTGACATGTGAAGGGAGCTGTGAACATAAAATGGTTTGTAGCTCCTGACAGCAGCAGCTCTTTGGGTGAAGCACTGTCAGGGCACCATCACTGGTGGAGTGGCAGGTCTTGGTCAGTGTGATTTGTTCTTCCCCTCAGAACTACCCCCTGTACATCCGGAGTGTCCCCACAGAGAACGAGCTGAAATTCCACTACACTGTTCACACATCCCTCGACGTCGTGGATGAGAAGATCTCAGCTATGGGCAAAGCCCTTGTGGACCAGAGGGAGCTCTACCTGGGGCTCCTCTATCCCACTGAAGACTACAAGGTGTATCTTTCTTGTGCATTTTGCCAGGCCATGGTGTGTTTAATTTAATGAGCTGCTTTCTCCTGATGTCGCTGGACCAGTGACTCCCAAAAGCCCTGTGGGTCACAGAGTCATGGAATGGTTAGGGTTGGAATGGACCTTAAAGCCCACCCAGTTCCACCCTCTGCCATGGGCAGAGACACCTTGCACTAGACCAGGTTGCTCCTGGGTTTTAATAAACTGGGTGTTTCTTCGGGGTGCCTCAGGTCAGTCCCACTGGCTGATGTTATATCTTCAGGTCTCTTTGGTCTCCCAAAGAAGTCCTACAGGCAGAACTTCATGGAATCAGGGAACATCCTGAGTTGGAAGAGACCCATCAAAGTCCAACCCCTGGCCTTGCACAGGACACCCCAACAATCTCACCCTATTCCTGAGAGTGTTGTCCAAATACTCCTTGAGCTCTGGCAGCCTTGGGGCCGAGACCACTGCTCTGGGGAGCTTGTTCAGTGACCAACCACCCTTGGGGGAAGAACCTTTTCCTGATATCCAACCTAACCTCCCCTGGCACAGCTCCAGCCATTCCCTCAGGTCCTGCCACTGGTCACCAGAGCAGATATTGGTGCTGCCCCGAGGGAGGAAGTTTTCTTACATTTCCCAGCCTGGTTTTGGTGGTTTTTCCAGGCCCTGGTGTGCCAGCAGCGCAGTCCTTAACACCTGCACAGGTATGGCTACGTGACAAACTCCAAGGTGAAGTTTGTCATGGTGGTGGATTCCTCCAACACAGCCCTTCGAGACAACGAGATCCGCAGTGTAAGTGCAGCAACCCAGAGCCACCTCACTGCTTGTGCTCCTGCCACTTCCCTGTGCAGTGCTGAGAAGCAAAAACATTAAATCACTTGCAATCCCTTTTCAGATGTTCCGGAAGCTGCATAATTCATACACAGACATCATGTGTAACCCTTTCTATAACCCTGGGGACCGGATCCATTCCAGGTGAGTGGGTTTTCCACACTGATCCTGGTGTCTTTGTCACCTTTCTGGAACTTTCAGGGTACCTGTGATTTAACACAATGAACCCTGTGGTGGACCAGTTAGGCGTGTTTGCTCTAAGTGCCTAAATAAGAATAGCTATGTTGGGTTTGGACTGTTTCTGCCCCATAGAAAACTTATAAAAAGTTATATTGAACTCTGGCTCCCACCTCAGAACTGGTGTTAAAAACATTAAGTCAAGAAAATGTATTTTTCCTAGCTTAACTAGGAGTCATTAATTACTCAACAGACCACACTATAAAGAGTAAAACCATGTGTGCAGCTTAGGGAAAGCCAGGCAGAGACACTGTGGTGTTACAAATCTCTGCTGTGCAGAACTAGCTACTCCCTTTAATAATCTGTGTTTATTTCCTTCTCCAGGGCTTTTGATAATATGGTGAACTCCATGATGATGCAGGTGTGCTGAAAACCCTTTCCGTCCCACTGTTGGGAGCACCCCCCTGTACAGGAGCAGTGATGTATATATTGTCTTCAGTCTGTGTAATATTTCAGTTTTAATCTGTAAAATAAACTTGACACCTGCAAGGTTTGCATGGATTTGTACTCAAGGAAACCTGAGTATAGCACAGAATTCCCTGTTCTGAGAATCATGGAATTGTTTGGGTGGGAAAAGACCTTAAAGCTCATCTCATCCCATGCCCCTGTCCTGGGCAGAGACACCTTCAACTAGACCAGGCTGCACAAGATGAGCTCAAAGGCCCTCTTCCCCTTCCCAGGATGATTTTTAGGTGACTCACTTTTTGCTGTTACCACCTTGCACCTTGTCCAGACAGCCTAGGCACACTCCACAGTGATTCCCAGCACAGGTACAGCTGGAATAAATTCACTCATGGGATTAAGCCTTCAGGATTGCACAGCTGCCTGGCTCACCCCAAACTAATCTCTACTAGCACCTCCTCCCCTGCAGCTCCCTGATGCTCCAGTTAAAGACTCCCCAGTCAATAGCAGGTATTTATATGGAATAAAACACAAAATGGGACTGGAAAAGCATCCCAACTTCTTCCATCATTACAAGGTGATGCAAGCAAGAGTAGGCACTGAGCAGCTACTCAGTGCTTCTCACACACTTCAAGCCTTTCACACCCCACAGGCAGGAGCCTGCACTTCAAGCATCTCATCAGTTAAAAACACATAAACCAGCTAAAAAAATAGAGCTGTACAGCTCCAGAGGATCCTGGGAGCCTGGAGAAAGCCAGAACTGCACATGAAGTTCACACAGTAGGATCATTTATTTTAAAAACAAGTGACAGTTACAATACTTTCTCAAACAGAACTTAAGTACATTTAATCAACTATCTGGCAAATCAGGGGAGATTCAAGCTTCTCCCACCATCTCCACAGGGCACAGCTGTGCACTGCTATCCCAACATATTTTAACCTAAAAATCTTTACTGTTTTCACTTGGAGACAACAGCTCTGCATTTCCTCTTCCATGACAGTCCAAATACCCCAAAGTAGTTTTTTTATTAAAAAATAAGTCTCAATAAAAATTTTTTATTAAAAAATAAGTCTCAAAAATTTACAAACTACGAACAGAAGCACTACAAAAAGCTGGTTTATAGTCTAAGCCTAAGAGTAGCTCAACTCAAGGTCAGTCTCTGCAGCACTGTGCACAAAATTAACACAACACGAAGAGTTAAGGCCCCAAGCTTTAGAAAATAGAAATCTAGAGATCTTAAAGGGAGAAAAAAAAATCAGTGGGATTTTTAGCCTGGCAATGCCCCCTGAGCTGTGAAAAGCTGCTTTACGAGTCGGTTGCATCTGTTGCATCTGGGTTAGAGGAATCCTAACCAAGGATCCCGAAAGATTAGTGGGAGAATTACATAATAAAACCCATTTCCATGCAGAACTCCCCCCAGGAACACTGTCTGCTGGTGTTTCTAGCCTGCCTCTTTTAACACAAAGTTTCCCCTTTAAAAACAAATGGTTTCAGAATGCACAAACACAAAATCAGCAGGAAAGGCAAGAGCCAGGAACCTTGTTCCCCGATCCGCAGCTCCTGTGGTGCACTTTGATCCCAATCCTCCAGCTCAGCTGGGCTCACACCATCCTCAGTGCAAATCCAGAACAGGAATTATGGTGGGAATAAAGAGGAAAATCAGACCAAATTTGAAACAACTGAGGTGATTTTGTGATGCTGCTACTGCTGGAAGTAAAGCCAAATGATGAGTTGGCAGTTCCCTGTAGCTTTGGAATAAAAGGAGGAGGGAGGGAAGAGAGGGTTGCTGACTTCCAAAATAAAAAAGGGGAAGGGCTTTGTGACACCCGGGTCTTGTTTAACTACCAGAGAAGAGGCTTCCAGAGAAATAGCAAGGGATTTCTTTCCTCTGCCCTAGATGTACAAAGGCAGCAAGCCAAAAACCAGACCCAAACCACATCAGGCTCCCAGAGCAAGATCAGGAAACCACAGAGCTGATGAAGGAAAAGCTCCCCAGGAGTCAGAGCTAGAGCTGCAAACCAAGACATTAATTTGGAGAAGAAAACAGTCTTTGGAAAGGTCTTTAGGATCTTCTTAGGAGAAGAGAAGGCAGCACTTAGCTGCTGTAGGAAGGGCTAGCAGAGCTGAGGGAGCTTCCCAACTGAGCAGTGGGGTGGAGATCACCTGGACAGCCAGGAGCTAAAGGAAACCCTCCAGTACAGCCCCCTTTTCCATGGGATGAGAAGGAGACAACGGTCTGGGAGAGCTCTTCCCTTCCCAGGACAGTGTTCTCTGGAATGAGCCTGTTCTCGATGCAAACACAGTCCCCTGAGCAGAGCTGAGGTGAGATGAGCCCCCTCCTGGGATTCTGGCAGGAGGGTTCAGATTCCATCTTCCCTCCCACAGCCTGGCACAGGGCTCACCAGTAAATCCTCACAGCCAGGCAGATGGCATTTTTTAAATTAATCTGGTTTTTGGCTTGGGTAGGCATTTTTTAAATCTCGCCCAATCTCTTTTCAGTCCCGTTGGCATCACCAGGGCAGTCCAGTCCTCTCTAGTATGGAAAATACCAAGGCAGCAGCCTTGCCCGACCCCTAAACAGGAATAAAAACAACATCCTAAAGTACAGGGCACCTGCTCCCTCATCCCTCCAAGGGCTGGAATTCACCTTTCTGTATCAGCTACCTCAGACTAGCACCCCCAAAACCAGGGAAGCCCCAAGACTAGGCCCAGCTCTGGGATCAGTCAAGGCTGGGAATGCAATGCGCACCCACCATCCCCCAAATCCCTCCAGGAATGGAGGGGCAGCAGCAGGTTTATCCAGGTGTTTCCTTCCTTCCAGAGCCTTTCTCCATCCTCTCCATCCATGCCGTGGTGGGAGGTGCAAAGCCAGGATACTGAGCAGAGCCAGAGCAAGTAACCTTAACCTAAGGACAGCCTGTTCCATACATAAGGAATCCCCCTGCTCAGCCACTCACCTGTATATTCTCCCTCGCACCCTGGGGTGCTGCCCTCCATAGTAGCCTCCCCACCGGCCTTGGTAGTGGCCCCGGTAGCCCCCACGGTCAGTGGTGCTGATGCCGGGCATGTTGGTCCTCTTGGGAAGCACCTGGAAGGAGGGAGGGGCTGTCAGTGCTGGGACTGGGCAAAGCCCAACACACCTGGGGCTGGGAGGGATCAGCACCTGGGGCTGGGACAGGAGGGTGGGCACAGCCCCCAGGGCCTCACCCAGCTCTTACCTTAATGACCCGTCCCCTGAAGGTGCTCTCGTCCAGCTCCACCGCAGCCTTCACAGAGCTCTTCTCCTCGAACTCGATGTAGGCGTACCTGTGAGGGGACAGGGTGAGCAGAGCCCCAGGCACACCCTGCAGACCCCAATCCCTGCACACAGCACTGACCCTTTGGGGTGCCCCGAGAACTTGTCACAGAGGATGGTGACCCGGTTGATCTGCCCACAGCTGTTGAAGTGAGACTCCAGCTCCTCTGCCGTACCCCCATAATCCACCTGCAACGACAGTCCCGGCCCCTCCAGCTCGTGGGTCTGGGATTCACAGCCCATCATGGGAGGCCAAAGGCCCAGCTGGCCCCACTCACACCTCACCACCACAGCTCCAGCATTTCCTGAGTGTCAGGAGACCCTCCCAGTGAGTGCTCCAAGCCTGGAAACACAAATCCAAGAGAGCCCACCCAGTTTCAAGGGAACAAGAAACACCATACTACCCTCAGCTTCCAGAGGGGTATTTTGGGGAGCTGACACTTGCAACAGGGAATCTGCAAGTGGATGACAATCACAGGCAGAGGCTGAGCCATATTTCCAGTCTGGGCTGGGCAGAGAAGGAACATTTGAGATGGGACCACCCAACTTTTGGTGGAGGGCTGGAGCATACACCCAGGAATCTGGGACACATGGCAGTAGGAAGTGCTCTGCTCCAGGGCTCCCACTTACATTGCCCACGTAAATGGATCGCTGGTCAGCTTCCACCTTCTCCTTGGCTGTCTTTGGGAAGAGACCTGTAGAAAGGAGGATGCTTTGTCACAGACAGAGTGGGAGGAGCTGTGTGGCAGGGGGATGTCTGTCTGTCTGTCGAGGTCTGCCCCCAGCACAGTCACTACCAAGCTGCTACACTCCAAAGCTCCTCAGATCCCCGGTCACATCCAGGTGTACCCAAATCCCCACACTGTTGCCTCCTCCTCCATGCCCTTTCCTTTTTTCTCTTCACCGTGACTCCTCTACTGGGGCTGTTGGTGCTAAACTCAATTAATTACCTGAATTAAATACTATTAAATTAATTTACTGCATCTTGGCCCACACAGGTAGGGGGTAAGAGCTGATATAACCTGCATTAGCACCATGCCATGCTTGGATCCCCCTCACTCACCAGTCCCAGGTGCCCAGAGAGGCAAAGCCACATGCTCTGGCTCCTGCGCCCCAGAGGTGTCCCTGGGGAGGACAGCAGCACTCAGGGACAGCCCATACCTGCCTCTGAGCTCATAAACAGGTGGCTCTCAGCTTCCAGCTGCAACTCCTTCAGCTTCTCGTCCTCCTTCTCAATCTCCTGCAATTTGGCTTTGATGGCTTCCAGCTCCTGAATCCCAAACCAAGACTGGCATGAGCAGCACACAAAGCAGGGACACCCCAGGCGTAGAAAGTTTCCCATTTCCCTCCAACACCAAGGAAAATTGGTTCCCTGCTCAGGCAGGCACTCACCGGGTCCGGCACAGCCAACTCCTCCTTGCTGTTCTCCTCCAGGTGGCTCAGGTCTGAGTTGTCATCTGCTGCCTTACACAAAGCTGCCATCTCTGTCACGTCCCAGGACACCTCCTCTGCTTCCAGGGACAGTGGGCGTTGCCACCAAATGTCGGAAGTGTCCAGGAAGAAAGGACTGGGAAGGACAAGGGGCAAAAAGGCATTTAACGAACAAACAGCCATTTAACATGAAGCTAAAGCAGAACCTCAGCCAGACAAAGGCTCTCAGGGTGTTCCCAGCAGAAGGATGAACAGGTGACACTAATGCAGCTTGTTCTCCATGTGGCAAGACTGCAAAATTGCAGGAGTGAGGGTAACCAAAAGGTTTCTGGTTCATACTGAGTCACTTCCCAGCTCAGGAGGGCAACAGAAGGGAACTGGAAGCAACTTCCCTCAGGTGACAAAAACCCAGGTGCACAGTCCCCAGGCAGCTGGCAGGGAAAGAGAAGAGAAGGCAGGACATGGCCACCAGCAGAGCTCTCAGGCTGCACAGAGGGAGCAGCAAGGAGCTCTGCCTCCTCCAGCAAAGGCAGACCTACACCCTCCTACCCCCAGAGGAGCTCACAGAGAGACATGCTCTCCCACCCGTGTGCATAAGCCGACCCTGCCCCATCCCGAGAGAGCCTCGGCAGCTGTCCCCGAGCTGTGCCCGTCCCGGAGCACCCCTCCTCCACCGTGGCCTCACCTGTCCCGCCCTCCGAACATGCTGCGCGGAGCCGCCGGAAGCTGCGCCCACGTGCGGATTTCCCGCCACCACGAGTGGCCCTGGCGCCGGCGCGCCACTTTCACACGTCAGCGGCCAATCAGAGCGCGGCGCTCTCCAGGCCCCGCCCCGTGCCGGCAGCGCGTGGGAGATGGTCCCGCCCCGCCAGGACGGGGTGGGAGGGTTCGAGAGCCGGGGACGGCAGCGGCCTCCACCTGGGGATGACACACTTTGCCAGGTGGGGTCACGGCCCCTGTGGGGCGGGGAGTCTCCACTGGCCCTCCCAGTTCACCGACCCCGCTGATGGTGCTGGAGACTGTAGCCAAGTCCCAGCGCAGGGGGAGCAGTGAGGCACCCCAAGGGGGGACACATCCCTTTGGGTTCCCTAGGGACACCCCTCCTTTGCAGTGCCCGACTCCGGGCTGTAAAAAACCCCCCAACCCAGGGTTGAGGACACCGGGTGCAGGGCACTGCCAGGAGCAGGAGGTGAGGGCACCCAGCACAAGCCGAGGCTCTGGAGGCTCTGTTTGATATTAAATTGTCTTTATTACACAGATACAGAGTTAAGAACAGACATAACCTGAATCATAAAGTTTACATCTTTCACAGGTCAAACATACAGTACACTTAGAGAAAGCAGGGAACAGCAAGGGGGGGACAGCATGCCGAAGGAAAGTCCTACCACATCATCTCTCAGGGCTGGCCCCCAAAGCCCATGCCTGGCTCTGGTTTCCAGCCCTCCAGGGAGTCCCGTGCCCCAGTGCCCCCGTCCCCAGGGCTGGCAGGGTAACACAGGCAGGGCTCGACCCCGCACGGGACCGGGGAATGGGTGCTGCCCGCAGCCAGGAGTGAGGGGGGGACATGGGCACCACACCTCCCTCCAGAGGCCATGGCGTTTGGTGGCATTGGAGGAGCCCCTGGAGCTGCCACGGCAGCGGGGACACCCCATCACTGTGCCTGGGGCCTGGGAACATGGTGGCATCTTGTCCCTGATCTCAAATCCACCGGAATCCAGAGGGTTACCCCAAGGAAAAAAGAGGGGATTCCAGCAGCCCCCAGAGGAGGAAGATGAGGAGATGCTGGGGGAGGGTTTGGGGGGCTCTAACAATGATGGAGTAAAGCCCAGGTGTGGGACCACCACTCCGGGATGTCCAGCCTTGCTGGGATGCAGCACTTTGGTTTCAGCTGGAATTTCGGGTTGCGAATGTGAGGAAGGGGCTGGAGATGGGACCCCAGTGCCGAGCTTGGCACTGGAGACCCACGTCTTTCCTGCCACCTCCTCCAGTCTGGTGCCACAGGCAGCATTCAGTGACCTGGGCTCTGCCTCTCTGGGGGGACAGGGACCTAAGACATGCTGTCCCCATGTCCCCATACCAGCCGTGATGGGGGCAGGGAACCCCAGAGCTGTGGGCAGCCATGGGGACCTGGCCCAGCCACTGTGGCACCCTGTGTCCCCACACTGCCCCACAACCACCAGGGTGTCCCTGCCCCTGCTAGGCTGTGCCAGCACCATGCTGCTCATCCACCTGCCATCTCCCAGATACCACAAAGCCACCAAAAGACACAGCTGGGACACAGCACGTGGCACATGTCCCTTGGGCCCCTGTGCACCTCTACACCACCAGTTTGGAGTAAAACTCCAGGGAAGCACCCACCGCTCTGACCAGCACCATCACAGCATTGCCCTGGCCCTGTGGCCGCACCGTCCTCCCACAGGAGGATGAAATTTTTTGGGAAATATCACATTTAAAGCTGTCGTTCTGGTTCGGATATCTGCTGAAGCTGAGTCGCCCATCGCAGCCATCCCCTCCCACCCTCCCCCGGCTTTTGGTTTCAATGCAAGGTTCTGTAGGGTAGTTTTATTCTTACTTAAAAAAAAAAAAAAAAAAAGAAAAATTCATAATAATTACAAAAAGAGCAAAACAGCAGGGAGTGGAAATGAGAGCAGTCCCTGTGGAAGTGCTCTCACCCGCGGTTTCCTGGCGAGGTGGAGGTAGAGAGGCAGAGCCCCGGCGGAGACACGCGGGGGAGAGGGCAGGGATGGGACGGGACGGATGCCCAGGTGAGCAGGGGCATCTGCAATACTCTTATATATTACCTCTTCTCAGGAAACGTAAGAAAAATAGACAATATTACATATGTCACACCATAAATAAAGTGGTCACTGGAGGGGCAGCCAGCAAAGCTCCCAGTATTGGGGTGCACAGAAACCACCCAGGAGGTGCACCAAGGTTTCTGGGTGCACAGAAGCCTCCCTAGGGGTCATGCCAAGACCTTGGGGTGCACAGA